TAAACAAGTTTTGTAAACAATATATTGATAATTATGTTTGTGTGCTTACTGTGTTGTATACAACTAGTGTATATTTGTACACTGCACCTTACTTTGGTCTCATAGGCCACATAAGTTATGTGAAAAAATAAAATAGTGAAAAAACAAAAAAAAACTTCAAATACAAGTAAACTAAAGTTTACCGGGTGAGCGGCAGTCGCCGCTGTTGCCATACACGGCTCATTTTCTGCAAACTTCACAGCTCTATATCTCGGTAAGTACTGATGGCAAACAAAAATTTCAGAAAGGGGCCTGCGACAGTCAAAGGGTTAATAAAAGACAGTCCATCTCTTACCTTAGCAGGACAATTAAGGAAAATCCTGCTCCCACTTTATTACCATGGTAAAGATAGTGTACACTGTTGTCTATGCTTAAGACAGCAAGAATCAAACATTCTGCTTTGCTTCATGGAGGAAGTGGCAAGGAAGCAAAAGTACTAGGTCAGCTTTTCCTTTATATTCGAGGGGCATTGGAGCGGCATAGGACACCGTGAGGTCACATTACTTTTGACTCTACCAAGAGTCACACTGACGCCAGGATAACCAACAAAGAACACCGATCCGTGCGTTAGTGTGAACAAAGTGTCTCACAAAACACGATAAACACTTACAGAGAAGTGTGATCAACTTCTTTAGTGATATGGTGTGAACAATTATTGATGAACAGTGTAACAACGAATGTTGCAATCCAACAGAGAGTAGTGCGACATTCTTCAAAGAACACTATTCTTCAATCAACTCATCGGATATCCGGGTGTAACTACGGGTCAGATACATGTACCCAGGTAAGTGTTCTAACTCGTGATGTACTACTATTGACTGCGCAGTTGAGTCTAAGTTACGAGTTAGTCACTTATCATAAACCCCGGTGATAAGCGGATTTTTGAGCCCACACAAGTACGTACGTCAGCCATCAGTGAATGAAATATGCTGACATAACACCCCCTAGGGGTAATTTATTATCATACATAATATAATCTTTTTCAGCCCGTTAAGAAGTGGATGATACAGCTTCTCAAGACCTCATCTGCAGGGGCAGCTGTGTGGACGATGAGCTGTCTTATCAGCTAAGTACTCCCTATATTTAATCTTTAACCTTAGCTGGTAAACCATTTCTCAACAGAACAGACCCATTCTTTGATATCTTGGCCAAAATTTACCATTCACAGTTTATCTAAGAGAGTTGAGCTCACGACGTAGAACTACGTGAGGGACCCTGACCTCAGTGACGTAGTTCTACGTGACAGCCAATGAACAGGTTAATCCTTTCAGGGTCCAGAGGCCAAATTTCCAAGTGTGCACCAGAGTCCAAGAGTTTTCAAAAAATAATTATGTTATTTTTTTCTTATGAAATGGTAGAGAATCATTTTCTGAAGGTAATAAAACAAAAAGTATGAAATTTGATGGAAAACTGACGAAATTATGCTCTCGCGAATTTTGATGTGTCAACAATATTTACGCATCAGTGATTTTTGCCGACTTTGACTCCCATTTTAGGCCAATTACATTATTCCAGTCGACCAAATTATTAGCTATTTCACTAGTATTACGTCTATTCTATCGATTGAGCACAAGAAATCACAAAGTCAACTGTTTCAACTACAAAATAAAGTTATCAGAAATTGGTAATTTGGCCAATTTAACGAAAAGTTCATAAAATTCCAATTTCAAAATAGGGTTCAGAATAAACAATGCAGGCATTCCTGGCACTAAACTAACATTTCCTCTGTTCATTAGTTACGTTTTCTGGCTTTACAAATGAATTCCATGTTGATTTTTTATTCACATAATGAATTTTTATTCAAACCAAAAAATAGAAGATTTACTATCATGCAATACTGCAATAATTGTATAAATAATATCACCACATTTGTGAATGTATATCAGATCCACCAGCTGGTGTGTATTAGACGTGTAAGGTCATTTGCTTACTCTTGAACATCGGCAAAAATTTAAAATTTCCACTACTTTGAGCTCAGTTTCAAGCCATTTCCAGTAATAAAACCAATCAAAATCATCTCTATTTCTGTAGTACATCTTTCAATCTATCAAATGAGAGCAAGAAATCGCAAATACAACTATAAAAAACAAATGAAAAACACTACAAAGTCACTGTTTTAATAAAAAATTACGGTTTCAGTTTTTTCCTCTCATTATGCACTGTGTGCTGCAGGATTTGTTTTATGTGGTGTACACATACCACACAGATGTATTCTCTCATATCTTGGCCCAAATTTACCGCTCACAGCTTATCAGAGTGAGCTGAGCTCATGGTGTAGATCTACGGTTTGGACCCTCAACTCAAAGCCGTAGAACTACGGCACGGACCCTGAATGGTTAAGCGTTCAGTAATGTTTTACAGGTACATTCCTGGATAGCAGCAAAATTTGTCATCTTCCATGAATTTTTCTGAAAGAAGTGAACCATGTATAGGAGGCAGAGTACCAACAAATATGGGTACCTTCATGCTTACAAATTCTTGGGCTTCTTTATTTGCAGATTTTGATTATGTTTTTAGTGATCAGCCTTCAACTAAATCTTATTATCAATGAGTTTACCATTTTCTTTTTTAGTTTGATATCTTGATTATGCACCCCATACCCATCCTGTATGGTGACACAGTTTTCACAAGTTTAACACATGAACCCAACAATGAAAAACCCATAAGATTTCATTCACATTGTGGTCAATGCCTGTCCAATTCCCAAATATCTTTTTATTCTGGTAGTTCTTTCTTATTACAACAATGTTAATCAGATAATAATAATATACTGGAGATATGTTCTCAGACATATAAGATGATATATTACAATGATATGTTCACTGAACTAGGTAGTAGGTTGGTAGACAGCAACCGCCCAGGGAGGTATTACCGTCCTGCCAAGTGAGTGTAAAATGAAAGCCTGTAATTGTTTTACATTATGGTAGGATTGCTGGTGTCCTTTTTTGTCTCATAAACATGCAAGATTTCAGGTACGTCTTGCTACTTCTACTGACACTTCGGTCACACTACACATACAATTTTTTTTTTTTCAACAAGTCGGCCGTCTCCCACCGAGGTAGGGTGACCCAAAAAAGAAAGAAAATCCCCAAAAAGAAAATACTTTCATCATTCAACACTCACCACACTCACACATTATCACTGTTTTTGCAGAGGTGCTCAGAATACAACAGTTTAGAAGCATACACATATAAAGATACACAACATATCCCTCCAAACTGCCAATATCCCAAACCCCTCCTTTAAAGTGCAGGCATTGTACTTCCCATTTCCAGGATTCAAGTCCGACTATATGAAAATAACCGGTTTCCCTGAATCCCTTCACTAAATATTACCCTGCTCACACTCCAACAGATCGTCAGGTCCCAAGTACCATTCGTCTCCATTCACTCCTATCTAACACGCTCACGCACGCATGTACAAGCATATATACACACACACCCCTCTGGGTTTTCTGCTATTTTCTTTCTAGTTCTTGTTCTTGTTTATTTCCTCTTATCTCCATGGGGAAGTGGAACAGAATTCTTCCTCCGTAAGCCATGCGTGTTGAAAGAGGCGACTAAAATGCTGGGAGCAAGGGGCTAGTAACCCCTTCTCCTGTATAAATTACTAAATTTAAAAAGAGAAACTTTTGTTTTTCTTTTTGGGCCACCCTGCCTCGGTGGGATACAGCCAGTTTTGTTGAAAGAAGACGACGTTCACTGAAACACAGTATGACCCCAACCTTAAACAAAATTAGAAATGCCGACTTAATTTTGGAAACTTTTCATTTTTTTAGCTTCAAGGGACATCTAGGACCATAACTGCTCTTACCTTTCTTCTCATATGCTGGGATTACAGTACTACCAAGATTCTTCTTGTCATGTGATGGGACAACAGTAATACCAAGATTCTGAGAGCATGATGACTGCCCTTCTAATCAAGTGTTGGGATGACAGTAATATGTACCAAGATTCTGAGTGTATCATGACTGCCCTTCTTCTCATGCATTGGGACATCAGTAATACCAAGACTTTCAGAGCACAGCAAGTTTTTATTCAGTTTCACTTTCTCCATGGGAAAGTGGAACAGTTCTTCCTCCGTAAGCCAAGCATGTCATAAGAAGCGACTAAAAAGCCAAGAGCAAGGGGCTAGTAACCCCTTCTCCTGTATAAATTACTAAATTTAAAAAAAAAAAGAAAACTTTTGCTTTTCTTTTTTAGGTCACCCTACCTCGTTGGGTTATGGCCAGTTCGTTGAGGAAAAAAAAAATCTTGTTAAAATAAAGCCTTACTCTGCTATAAGTGTCTTTGTTTGAGCTATGAAGTATTGCTTTTCTACTCTAACAAGAAGAAAGAGATGTAATTCAATGCTATTAATCTCCTCTCCTTCACCCTCAAGGAAAAAACTGACTGTGAAAGAAATATTACAAAGAAAATGTTGATTTTCTTTCTTACAAGACAGGATGACTATACAATGGTCTACTGTAATTCACAGGAATACCTGAGTGTGTGGAGACAATTTACAGGTATACCTGAGAGTGGAGATTATTTACAAGTATACATGAGAGTGGAGATAATTAATTTTTGGGAAAAGAGATGCTGATGTATTGTGAGCAAGGTAACATCCATAAAGGGATTCAGTGTACTGGCTGAGTTCTGGAGGTGGAGACTAGAGTGCCGGCACCCTGAAGGATGGCTGAGGATCTTGTAGTTGGAAGGTCATTCACATTTATAATGTTCCCACTTTTCTGGCAAGACAGTTACTGAATGAGTTATGGTGAATGTTTTTCTTTCTTTACGTGGGAAATGGCCAATGTGTTAAAAATTATATAATTTGTCTAAGCAAGACAAGACAAGAATATCTGCCCAATACATAACTTAAAAAGCACAAACTCACAAACTATCCCAATGAATGGTAAAGCACTGTACATGTATGTAGAATTATCATAACAAAAATAAAATAAAATTCCATTAACTTACTGTTGAACATCGTGGCTGGGTTTCTTCACACATGAATAATGATATGCCATAAGTTTGAGAGGATCTAGCTTATCATCATCATCATCATCATCACTGTCAAGGGGCACTTTCTTCTTAGCAGCTTCAATACTGCTAGTAGTCATACCACCACTCCATTCTGGAAAATTTAATTAAAAAATCTTGTAGGAAAAAGTAAGAAGCTCATGCTAGTATACTACTGAAGGAGCTCATGCTAGTGTACTACTGAAGGAGCTCATGCTAGTGTATGCTACTGAAGGAGCTCATGCTAGTGTACTACTGAAGGAGTTCATGCTAGTGTACTACTGAAGGAGTTCATGCTAGTGTACTACTGAAGGAGCTCATGCTAGTGTACTACTGAAGGAGTTCATGCTAGTGTACTACTGAAGGAGCTCATGCTAGTGTACTACTGAAGGAGTTCATGCTAGTGTACTACTGAAGGAGCTCATGCTAGTGTACTACTGAAGGAGCTCATGCTAGTGTATGCTACTGAAGGAGCTCATGCTAGTGTACTACTGAAGGAGTTCATGCTAGTGTACTACTGAAGGAGCTCATGCTAGTGTGTGCTACTGAAGGAACTCATTCTAGTGTGTGCTACTGAAGGAGCTCATACTAGTGTGTGCTACTGAAGGAGCTCATACTAGTGTGTGCTACTGAAGGAGCTCATACTAGTGTGTGCTACTGAAGGAGCTCATACTAGTGTGTGCTACTGAAGGAGCTCATACTAGTGTGTGCTACTGAAGGAGCTCATACTAGTGTGTGCTACTGAAGGAGCTCATACTAGTGTGTGCTACTGAAGGAGCTCATACTAGTGTGTGCTACTGAAGGAGCTCATACTAGTGTGTGCTACTGAAGGAGCTCATACTAGTGTGTGCTACTGAAGGAGCTCGTACTAGTGTGTGCTACTGAAGGAGCTCATACTAGTGTGTGCTAGTATCTCAACAACTTAGACCAGCTCTGTTTGCAGACAACACAACTTTTGTCAACTCCCACCCAAATCTGAACATCTTCAATAACATTGTTAACGGGGAGCTCATAAAGATGTCTACCTGGATGACTACTAACAAACTCACTCCTAACATTGACAAGACCTTCTACATGATGTTTGGGAACAGAGCTGCAAATGTTCAATTATATGTCATGAGTAACCCCTTGGCTGTCGCAACCCCAAATCCTGAGGTGTCTCCTGGTGTTGCAAAATTTCCCCCAAAAAAAAAGAAAAAGAAAAAAAAAGAATCTTATGAAATGATAGAGAATCTTTTCCCGATTGTAATGACACCAAAAGAATGAAATTTGCTGGAAAACTGACGAAATTACGCTCTCGCGAAGTTAGCGACCTCGGGGGTAATTACAAATCGGCGATTTCGCCCATTTTGAGCCCTATTTTTGGCTAATTCCATTGTTCCAGTCAATCAAACTCATTGCTATTTCTTTAGAACCCACTTTTTCTATCGATTGAGTACAAGAAACTGCCCATTTACCGATTTCAACTACCCAATAACATGGTCAGAAATTTGCAATTTGGCCAATTTCACGAAAATTAAAAAATATGACAATTTCAAAATAGGGTCCAGAATGTACAATGCAGGCATTCCTGGCTCTAAAATAATATTTTCTTTGTTCATCAGTCACGTCTCCAGGCCCCTCTGATATTACTCTTGCTTTCTATTTTTGAATTTTTATTCAAGCAAAAAATAGAAGATTTACTGTTATGCAGACTACTGCAATATTGTAATAATTGTATAAATAAAGTCAACCCATTCATGACTGCATATTAGAACGGCTACTTGGACATTTATTGGAAAATGACATTATTTGTTTACTTTTGAAAATTGCCAAAAATCAAACATTTTCCCTACTTTGAGCTCCATTTCAAGGTTCTTTTCATAGTAAAACCAATCAAAATCACCTCTATTTCTATAATATGTTTTCCATTCTATGAAATGAGACCAACAAAACGAGAATACAACCATAAATACTATACGAAAATAGACCACAAATTCAACATTTTAAAAAAACGGTCGGAGTTTTTTTTTTCTCATTATGCACTGCGTGCTGCAGGATTTTTTTTATATGGTGCACACTGACCACACAGGCCCATTCTCTCACATGTAGGCCTACCAGCCTTCTCCTGCTTGATTTGAAGCCGCTAGAATTTATGAGTATACATATATACATCAAAAACAACCAAAAACGACCAAAACAGTCAAAGGGTTAATGGTTCTCTCATGGCAAGCCAAAACAAAAGCAAATTCTTAGATCTGTATCTAGAGAGCAACTTGAAATTCAACACTCACATTAAGCACATAAAAAAAAGTTTCCCAATCAGTTAGCATCCTCTCCAAGACATGTTACTATGTCCTCAAACCTAAAGTCAGTTATAACTCAACAAAAAGTGGCTGAATGATAATTACTCAGTCTAGAGCAAGGCAACACACACTCTCACTCTTCAAAAGCTTAAACTTAATATTCATAAAATTCACTCCTACTTCTGTGCATACTAAATATACAGGACAATCAATTTTAATATTAATCCTGCCATAAAACTCTCTGTTGATAGATACAATAGAACTCATAGGAACTATCTGCCAGCATCTTCAAAACTACTGTAAAAAACACCTTTCCCTAATATATCCTAACAACAGCTAAATATGGTGTTAAAAATGTGTTAATATGCTAAACAATTCTCTCAACCAACAGCAGCTAAATATGATAAATGTTTTTTTTTTAACCGGCCATATCCCACTTAGGCAGGGTGGTCGAAATAGAAAGTTTCTCTTTTTATATTTAGTAATTAATACAGAAGGGGTTACCCCATGGAGATAAGAGGAAATAAACAAGCACAAGAACTAGTAAGAAAAAAGAAGAAAACCCAGAGGGGTGTATATATACAGCCTTCCTTCATTTAACGATGGAGTTCTGTTCCTAAAACCATGTCGATAAACGAATTCATCGCTAAGCGAGGAGCACATAATAATATTACTGGGTTTGTGTCAACCATCTCTGATATTGTTTTAATGTCACCCTCACACTATTTATAACATTTCTGGTATATTTTTAAACGTTTATACAGTGGTGTACTGTATATTGAAATACACAGAATAGAGGAAATTAGTTCCAATACACATTATTCAGGTACGCATACAGGTAAGAGAGCCTGTCGTAAGTTCGAGTCGTCAGTAAACAAGTGTCTCGCTAAGTGAGAAGAGGCTGTATATGCTTGTACATGTACGTGTAGTGTGACCTAAATGCAAGTTGAAGTAGCAAGACATACATGAAATTTTGTATGTTTATGAGACAGAGAAAAGACACCAGCAATCCTACTACCAGGCTTTCATTTTACACTCACTTGGCAGAATGGTAGTACATACCTCCCTGAGCAGTTGCTGTCTACCAACCTACTACCTAGGAAATGTGTTAATATGCTAATAATTCTCTCAATCAGAAACCTATATAAAACTACAGTGGTCCCTCGATAATCATCGGGCTCGATAGTCATCCTTTTCGGAAATTGTAGCGTTATTTTTGTCCAAACATTGGCTCGCAAATGGTCGGTTGACTCGCTAATCGTCGTTCACCCTCGATGCGTACTCACGGCTCTGAGCCGCCTCGGCCTCCCTTCCCAGCCAGCGTGCAATTGTTTACCAGTGAGCGACGGCCCCCTCACTTGTTCATACAAAATATTTCATAATATTCCATTCGTTTTAGTGCTTGCAAATGCTAAATAAGCTACCATGGCTCAAAAGAAAGCTCCTAGTGCCAAGCCTTTGGTAAAGAAGGTGAGAAATATGATTGAATTTAAGAAAAACATAATTGAACAATATGAAAGTGGCATACGAGTGGCTGAACTGGCCAGGATGTATAACAAATCTCGTACAACCATATCTTCAATCGTGGCCAAGAAAAAGGAAATCAAAGAAGCTGTTGTTGCAAAGGGAGTAAATATGCTTACAAAAATGAGATCACCAGTACTCGAAGATGTTGAGACGTTATTACTGGTGTGGATAAATGAGAAACAATTAGCAGGAGATAGTCTTATGACGTCGATTATTTGTGAAAAGGCTAGGCAGTTGCATGACGATCTGGTAAAGAAATTGCCTGCAACGAGTACTGATAATTGTGAATTTAAGGCCAGCAAAGGTTGGTTTGAGAGATTTATAAACAGTAGTGGCATACACAGTGTGATAAGGCATTGTAAGGCTTGGGAAGGAGTGACTACCAGGACTTTGAACTCTGCTTGGAGAAAATTGTGGCCAGATTGTGTCCACAAGAGGGATTTTGAAGGGTTTGTGGCTGACCCTGATGAGCCTATGTCAGTTGTGAACTCTATTGTGGCATTGGGGAGTTCCATGGGGTTGGATGTGAGTTTGGAGGATGTGGAAGAGTTGGAGGACAACAACACAGAGCTAACCACTGAAGAGCTGCAAGAGCTTCAGCAGGAACAGCAATAGATCGCAGCTCAGAATCTTGCTGCAGAGGAGGAGGAAGAGAGATGGAAGAAGGAGCCTTCTTCAGAAATTAAGGAGATTTTTGAAATGTGGGGTAGAATGGAAAGATTTATGGAGAAACATCACCCTAACAAGGTTGTTGAAAGACAGGTTGGCAACATGTACAGTGACAAAGTCTTGGGCCATTTTAGGGAAGTGTTAAAGAGACGCCAGAAACAGAGCTCTCTCCACAGTTATTTTGCAAGACAGGACTCCAGTGACTCTCAAGCTGGTCCTAGTGGCATTAAGAAACAGAGAAGAGAAGTAACCCCAGAAAAGGACTTGGTACCTGAGGTGTTGATGGAAGGGGATTCCCCTTCCAAACATTAACTACTCCAATCTCTCTCCTCCTCTAGTCTTCCATACACTAAGAAGTATCACCAATAAAGGTAAGTGTTATGCTGTTAATGTTTCATTCATTATGTCCCATTGTACTGTTTATGTACTACATCTGTATTTCACGTAAAAAAATTTTTTGTTTTAATACTTCTGGGTGTCAGGAACGGATTAATTGTATTTAAAGTATTTCTTATGGGGAAAACTGATTCGAAAATCCTCTATTTCGATAATCGTCACACTTCCAGGAACGGATTAACAGCGATAAACGAGGGACCACTGTATATGGAATAATCATGAACAAGCAACACAAGTTGCAAAA